GCATTAAGGAGGGCACATAATGTGATGAGCATTGGGTGTTATATGCAACTGATAAATTATTGAATACTGCATCTGAGACATATGATGTACTACGTGTTGGCTAATTGAATTCAAATTGAAAAAATAAAATAACTGATTTAAAGTATTTGTTCAGTAAGTCCAAAATTTGGGCTTCCTCAGGGGCAATTTCTATTGGTTGCTTTCTTTTTTTCCTACCTATGACAATACTTTCTTGATTTTTTTGCATGTTTCCTATTTTTGGTTGAAAACTGGACTTTTAAAGTAATTTAATGTAGCAATTCTGGAAATCAGGTATGAATGTTGTTAGTGTCTGTTGCTGTTGGTACGTTTAATGATTTTTCTGAACTAATTCTTTAATTTCTGTATCGTTTGTCATATGCAGCCCCTGAAGTCACTGCTCAGTTAGCCTAGGCTGATTATTGGGTGGAGAGTTTTTTGGCCACCTGAAACTAGTCTCCTAGTCTCTGCTGAGGGTCTTTGTGTGCTTGTTGTGGTACACTCTAAACATTTAGCTAGGCAGTTGATGACTTTATCCTTCACTGTCTGCTCTGCAGAGCATCAGTTTCAGCCAGAGGTAAGAACTTAAGTTCTGTCTTGACTAAGCGAGCTCAGTCTTGCCCCACCCTATGCATGCACGTGGCCTTCTATTTTCCCAGGAATGTGTTAGAACTTTTCAAATCTCCTATGGACTTGTGTTCCCAGCTTTTCCTCTTAAGCATTTTGTTTAGCCTGTTTACCCCAAGTGTTACCTGCTGCATCGGCATTTACAAAGTTAAATGAAAGCCTCTAATTGTTTTTGAAAAATAATCTTTGGGAAAAGGTTTTGTACAGTGGTTGTGCTCTGAGTTAGATCAAGTGAAGACAGCCTTGTTAGTGGTATCTTCTTGGAGAGGGCCAGAGAAGTCAAATAATGACAGTTCTCTGGGAAGGAGGCATTGAAGTCCCTCCAACCCTGTCTGCCCCTCTAGTGGCTGCCAGCCTGCTGGTTCTTACATTGATTGGCATGGTGGTTATCAGAGCTAAGGCAGACTGGGGGAGGGGGGAAGAGGGAGATGGGAGTGGGGAAACTTAACAGTGCTAGAGCCCACCAGGCCCTTGTAACAAATTACCAGAGACTGAGTGGGTTAAACAACAAAATTTATTGTCTCCCAATTCTGGAGGCCAGAAGTTCAATCATGGAGGCAGAGTTGATTCTGCCTGAGGGCTGTGAGGGAAGAAGGGTCTGTTCCAGTTCTCCTTCCTTGGCTCATGGGTGGCCATCGTCATCCTATGTTTCTTCACATCACGCACCCTCTGTATTTGTATGTGTCCAGATTTTCCCCTTTCATAAGACGCCAGTTATTGGATTTGGGCTCACCCTAATTACTCATCTTAAGTTGATTACTTTTGTAAAGACTCTGTGTCCAAATATGTTCACATTCTGAGGTATGGGGATTAGGGCTCAAATAGATGCATTTGGGGAGAGGCGTAATTCAGCCCATCATGCCAAGATTCAGTTGTTTTTCTTGAATAAGTTTTTCACGGGTTGCTGCAAGTCTTTGATTAATTTCCAGAGTTCTGAAAATGTTGATCCTGACCATTTCCGCCAGTTTTTGCATTACCTTTATGAGGGAGATAATTTTTAGAGTTCCTTACTCTGCCATTTTCACTGATATCACAGCTTTTGTTTTCAAACTACAACCTTTAAGCCTAAATTATAAAATAGACCCATGGTAAATACAGAGAACAAACTGATAGGTGCCAAAGGGGAGGACAGTGGGGGGAATGAGCAAAATGGGTGAAGGGGAGTAGTAGATATGAGCTTCCAGTTATGGGATGAATTATTCATGGGGATGAAAGGCACAGCACAGGGAATATATTTAGTGGTATTGTACCAGCACTGGATGGTGATGGATGGGAGCTACACTTGTACTGAGCACCGCGTAGCGTAGAGACTGGTCGGATCACTATGTTGTGCACCTGAAACTGATGTGACGTTACCGAGTATACGTCACTAAAAATAAATAAATAAATAAACATGAACTACAAAAAAAAAAAAAAGACTGTTCTGGGAGTTTACTTTTAACTGTATTAATTGTATACATCAACATGAGGATAAATTGGCATTTTTTAAAAATTATAGTGTACACTCCCATGATTATGGCATTATGGTCTGTGTATATCTTTTGCTGGAGTTTGAGCATATTCCCCACAGTGGCCTTGTTTGATTATCAATTAACTTCTGTTTATTGTCTCCTAAATGTTATCTTCTTTTTTATTACATGATTTAATGCATTATTATTGATGTACAGGGGCATTATTTACTTCTGTATGTTGATCTTGTATTAGGAAACTTCTGGGTTCAGTTATATTTTCTTTGATTTAAATATGTGCAGAGGTTAGTGGAGGCTAGAGGAAGGGCAGAGCAGGAAGGATATACCTGTGCTGAGTTTCCACAGATGAGAAGGCATTTTGATACCTCCCTGAGTAAAACCATGGAAGAATGGTTCAGTGTGCTCCTTAGAGCAGTCTGAGTAGTTTGGCATTCCGAGGGCAAATAGTGTCAGAAGAGGTGTAAGGAGATATGTAAAAGACAGATCATGCCAGAAGAGCCAGTAAGTCAGGCTGAGTAGTGACAACTGTATAAAATAAACACGTATCCAAGAAGTTAGAAAAAAGAAGTGGAAATTAACTGAAGCGAGTAGGAAAGAAATAAAAGGAGGAATTAATGAAAGAGATCAGAGAACAGTAGGTTTAATGGAACCAAAAGCTGTCTTTGGACCGGTTGGTAGATGAGCTTTTGACAAATGTTTCATGAGTAACGGAAGCACAAAAAAATGTTACGAGTCAATAAAAGTATGCTGAACTTTATAAATTACAACTTAATACTTCGAATAATTTTATGCTAATAAACTTTAAATGAACAACTGTAATAAAATATGAATTTCTAAAGCAGACTTAAGTTACTTGTTAGACTAAGAATTACGTTTTCCTGATCGATAATCAAAAATTTGTTTTCCACCTTTTTCCCCATTGCTAAAAAAAAAAAAAGTACCAGGCTAAACGGTTTTCCAAGGACAAAGAACACTTTCCTTATTCTTTCAGAGAAAATTTATAGAAGAAAATCTGCCCAGTTCATTTTATGTGGCTATTACAACTTTAGATACCTTCCTTAATAATACTAAATTCTAAATAACTTTGATACTGAAATTGGAAAAGGACAAAGATGGTATAAAAATTATACACAATTGTATTTCTGAATATAGGTACAACTATCCCAGGAATAATGTTTGCAAATTGCATCCAACTGTATTTATTTATTTGTTTATTTTTTATTTTTTTAAATTTTTTATTGTTATGTTAATCACCATATATTACATCATTAGTTTTTGATATAGTGTTCCGTGATTCATTGTTTGTGCATAACACCCAGTGCTCCACGCAGAACGTGCCCTCTTTAATACCCATCACCAGGCTAACCCATCCCCCCACCCCCCTCCCCTCTAGAACCCTCAGTTTGTTTTTCAGAGTCCATCGTCTCTCATGGTTCGTCTCCCTATTTGTTTATTTTTTAAAAAAGATTTATTTATTTGAGAAACAGAGGGGGAGAGAGTGCATCTGAGGGGGGAAAGGCAGAGGGAGAGAATCTCAAGCAGACTCCCCGCTGAGTGGAAGCCCCATGTGGGGCTTGATCTCATGACCCATGAGATCATGATCTGAGCTGAGACCACTTAACTGACTGAGCCACCCAGGCACCCCCTGAATTTAGCAGTATTTAAATAAAAGAGCATGATCAGTTAGAATTATTCCAGGAAAGCAGTTCTAGAAAAGCAGTACTATTATCAAACATTCCATTAAAATATTCAAGAAAAAAAAAATGATCACCTCATTCAGTATAGGAAAAAAATTTGTTAAAATTCAATACCCGTTAATGATAAAAACAAATAACCAAGAATACAGGGGGACTTTCTTAACCTATGAAAGAGTATCTGTCTAAAAGCTACATTCAGTAAACGGCAAGCTATATGGTGAAACTTGAGAGACAGTCTCTTTAAACTTCAGAAAAATTTCGATTTTCAAGTACAATTTTTATTTTACTGGATCACAAAAATTCTCTGTATTTGGTGAATCAGTGAGGGGTCAGCAAGCAATTACTGAGGAGTTACCAGAACCTTTTCTGAAGGCTTACTTATCAGTAAATTCAAGGTTATTGAATCTTTACTGCATTCCTTTTGTATCTCCTAAAGAATACTATTTTTGCTTGTTTAATGATCAGTATTCTTTAAATTTTGAAGCAAAGTGGGAGGGGGGGCTACCTGGGTGGCTCAGAAGGTGTCTGCCTTTGGCTTAGGTCATGATCCCAGGACTCTGGGATCAGACCCCATCAGGGGCTCCCTGCTCAGCAGGGTGTCTGCTTCTACCTCTCCCTCTGTCCCTCCCCTGACTCATGCTCTCTCTCACAAATAAATAAATAAATGTTCAAAAAAATAAAGCAAAGTGGGAAAAATGCTTAATAATTAAAATCATAGCATGTATTTATTGACTTTTTAATTACATAATTTTTAAGTTCTATACTTTGTGTCACATCATTGTGAATAATCTATTATTTCTCTAAACAATTCTATTGATTCCTTTTGGGTTTGGTATCTTTGAAAAACTAAGATAAAGTCTCAGTAATTTATAATTGTCTTAATTCTTTGTAATTAAAATAATGTTCTGAGAATAAGTTAGTATAGTGAACTCTTCATAAAAGACCAGTGCATTATTTTCAGATTGAGACACACACACACACACACACCCACCCCCAAATAAAATACATGTATATATTTTTGAGTGTTAGTTATTACATGGATTGCAAAGAAATTTAGTTTTCATCAAGTAATTGCAATAACCCAAAGAAAAGTTATGAAACATGCAGCCCGAACTACAAAAATGTGAGGCATTAAAGAGCATGAAAGAATATAAAATATTATTGGAACATTTTAATATTGTATTTTCAGTGAAAGTATATGTTATGCTGCATCAAAAGAGTCCACATGTGTTATGTGTAACGCCACGACTGCGAAATTTGGAAATGATAGATCCATCATTCCAATGGCATGGGCCAAGAGGAAAAATTATTTCAGGTAGGCTTTTGTTGCAGTTATCATAATTACATTAATATATCTGAAATATATGCAGAACAAAGAGAATATTCGTATCTCTTATATATGTATCTGTTTTCTCAAGTTTTTTTTTTCCCCTTTGATTTCCCTTTGGAGTGAGACTCTCACAGTGTGTGTAAAGTTCTCTAGGCAGCTATATTCCACAAAAATGTGACTTTTTTTTTTAAAACTTCATAAAGTCATTTCGGTTACCTCAGTCACACTTGTCTTAGTCAAGTGTGTATGAAGAAGCAGATATAATTCTGGTTTTTGTTAAAAATACAAATGAACCCTTCGAGCTACAGATGCACAAATAGGGTTTTGTTTGTTTTTCTGCAGCCCCACTTTGGGACAACTTGAGACTTTATTAGTAGTTAGAGTTTTACATTTTTTGGTCTTATATTTTTTTCTGACTAAAATCCATACCAATGTGGATTATACTTGAATTAAATATTATTATCCATTAAGGAAAAAAAGACTAACATTGAGTGTTTTAGTATTAAGAACACGCTTTTAAATATGCTTCATGGTTTGACAGTGATTTTGTATTAATATATTACTGATGCTGTGCTTACAAAAGAGGGAACTTAGTACTCAGGTGTTCATCCAGAGGAGAAGGTAGACTTGAAACCCATCTGAATGGTAACCTTACAGTTTTCAACAAATTTTTGAGAAAACAAGATCTTACTGTCAGGAAGATACTTTTTTCCACATAGAGATTACTGTTGGTATGACTGATGTGATCATTTTCTCTATTCAGCTTCTTTTGTTGTTTTGAAATGTATATCTTAATTTTATTCTAATTTTTATTTTGTTAAAAGCTGATTTGCTTTTGCAGTGTAGTTTAAAAAATATAAATTAGCTTATCTGTTCTTGTTTTCAGCCTTGATAAATACCCAACTTAATGAATGTTCATCCTGAAGATCTGTTCAGTGAAACACCTAATTATTTTTACATCCTTTCTGAGGAAGTTTTCTTTATTGCTCTATTCACCACATTTCCTTCCTTCTTTCCTTCCTTCCTTCCTTTTTTAAATCCTATTGGTATTTTGAGAGAGTGCCTGTGGACAAAAACCTACACGTTTATTTTGTTATGTTGGTTGTGGCAAAGCAGTATATTCATATCCACACTTGCTGAGGAAATAGTCATTGGAAATAGACTTATTTTGTAATATGTTAATTCACATTTTTATATACTTGAATGATCTCAGCTGTATATTTCTATAATATTTATGCTGATTCTAAAGTAGCTTAAGGTTTAAAGAGGTACTCCTCTCTTTGGGTGAGGTGGTTCTTCAGAGTGAATTACTCAGCCCTTAATTAGTGAGTGACCCACCTGGTGGGTGCCATTGCGCTACGCTTTGTGGGAAATGCAAAGATCAAACTTAGTATCTCTGCCTGACTGTAGTAATGCAGGAGGAGGGAATTAGCAGAGATCCTAAGAGATTGTGCACTTAATATAAATCCATGAAATGGGCCAGGAATAAAAACATGCAGTACTGAAAATGTAATTGGATTTTATTTTTACTGCTCTATAATAGTAGCACATATGTCATGCAAACATGTATGTTAAATATGTTTACATTTGGTGGTTAAAACCCTGTAAGTTCAAAAACAGAAGCATCTAAGTATTGTTCTATTGTAACAAATGTTACTCCTTTGATTTGGAGATTGAAATCTGGAACATTTTCTTCTCTAAGATGCCATGCCAGTCTTGTAGTTTATCTTGCAAAATATAGTCTATGATTGAATTTTGAAACCTTCAACTAGGAGCAATAATTTATTGTATTCACTGTCATAATGGAAGATAAGATGTTCAGAAATGTAGTTATAATAAAATCATATTAATACCATGTTTTTTTTATTTATAAACACTATTCTCAGGAAATTCTGGTATTCTGACATCATGATCACATTTAGTTTGCAGTACATGATCGCACCATAATTCACTGTCTACCAGTTTTAAAGCTCATTTGTTGTACTATCATTATGATTTCAGAAAGAACTGGAAATGTTGTCTAATTTTCCTACAGCTTAAAAAGTGGAGAATCTCTTTGGAATCTAGATTAAACTGCACTGTACTCAGTTATCTTTTTATGAATATTCCAAAGTTAGTTTCCCTAAAATTGAACAAAAGAAATCATGTGATTATGTAATTACTTGCACATTCTCCTGGAGAGAAATACTCAGCTTGTTTAGATGAGTTGTAAAATATAGGGACCAATCTTAGATTTGGTCTCTTTCTCCTTCCCTTTCCCCACCTTCTCTCTCAGCCCCCACTCCCCCCCCCTCGATTTCTTTCTCTCTCTCTTTATTTTAAAGAGAGAGCACATGGGCAGGGGAGAGGCAGAGGGCATGGGGAGAGAGAGAGAATCCCAAGCAGGCTCCATGCTCAGCATGTAGCCTGACCAGAGGGCTCAATCCCATGACCCTGAGATCATGACCTGAGCCAAAATCAAGATTTGGACGCTCAACTGGCTGAGCCACCAGGCGCCCCTCCTTCAGTATTTTTTTTATTTACAAATGTAATGCATTTTTTGCACAAAGACCTATACCTCTTACCCCAGCCCTTCTTCCATTCTGATGACTTAACTCGTTCTGGTGTGTGGACTTTCCCACTTTTCTGAACATATATAAACACGTATACGTATATCTGTTGAATTTTACCCTGTAACTACACTCTTATTTTTAATGAGATCATAGATTATACTTTATTCTGCCTTACTATTTTTTTATGGAATGAAGCCATTCATATATACAAATGTATATAAGATACATGCAAGTTATGACACACAATAAAACAAACATCCTAGAACCTACAAGTCAAGATCTACCATTACCAAGACTGTTGCACCTCTTAGTAAGTTGCTTAAAAATGCTATTCTTCTCTCCCCAAATCCCTGTTAGGTAAGCAGTGTCCTGACCTTTTACAGTATTATTCCCTAGTTTTTCTTTTTGTATTTGTCCTGTACCTAAATACACCCACACATACACATACTAGTTATTTAATTTTTTTGGACAGCCTTCTTCAGCAAGTACAGTCATTTCCTCCATTTTATATGTGAAAAAACAGAGGCATTGAGAGAAGAAGGTACTTAGCTGAAATCATGTGCCTTGAAGTCTGGCTTCAGAGTTCACAGGTATAACCTAAATGAGATAGGAATAGGATTTTCCTTTCTCACCATTTTGTGAGTTTTTGTATTTTGTATCTTTTAAAGAATTTGTCCAATTTAGGGGCAGCCTGGGTGGCTCTGTCAGTTAAGCGTCTGCCTTCGGCTCAGGACATGGTCCCGGGGTCCTGGGATCGAGCCCCGCGTTGGGCTCCCTGCTCCGCGGGAAGCCTGCTTCTCCCTCTCCCTCTGCTGCTCCCCCTGCTTGTGTTCCCTCTCTCGCTGTGTCTCTCTGTCAAATAAATTAAAATCTTAAAAAAAAAATAAATTCTTAAAAAAAAAAGAATTTGTCCAATTTAGAGTCTTCTTTCAACTTGTTGACTTTGTGAGCATGAAGTAGTTGTGATACTTTCTTTAATATATTCAGGATCTGGATGATGTGCCCCTCTCTGCTTGATATTGGCTGTATCTTTTCCCTTCATTTTGGTCTCTCTGGATACAGGTTTAACAATTTTATCAGTCTTTTCAAAGGACCAGCTCTTGGTTTGATTTTTCTCTTATTTTTTGTTTTCAATTTCATTGGTCTCTGTTTTTGTTTTTATTATTTTCTTTCTTCTGTGTGATTTGGGTTAAGTTTGCTTATCTTGTGCTGGTTGTGAATTCTGGATTGACAGGTTTTTTCTTTCAGCATTCTAAAGATGCCCTTCTGTGTTCTTTTTGCCTGTTTTCTAATGGGAAGTCTGCTGTAATCTTACCCCAGACCCTCTGTAGACATTTTGTCAATTTTTCTAACGGACTTGAAGATTTTTTCTTTGCCTTTCATTTTCAGTGATTATATACCTTTTTTTTGTTTTTTATATTTATTCTGCTTAGTGTTCTCTAAGCTTCTTGAACATTTAGTTTGGTATTTGCCGTTAATTTTTGAAAATTCTTAGCCATGATGTCTCCAAGTATTTGTTCTGCCCCATGCTGCCTCTCCTCTCCGGAGATTCCTGTCACACAGATTTAACACTACATGATATTGTTCCACAGCTCTTGGATTCTTTCTTCTTGGTGGTGGTGGTGGCGGGTGTTTTATTTTTTTTCTCTTTGTGATTCAGGTTGGGTAGTTTCTTTTGACCTGTCTTCAGGTTCATTGATTTTTTTCCTTAGCTGTCAAGCTTTTTACAAGCCCATAGAAGGAATACTTCGTCTGGGTTATTGGGGGTTTTGTGTGTGTGTGTGTGGTGTTGTTCATTTTGTTTTGCTATTAGTTCTAGCATTTTCATTTAATTCTTTCTTACAGCTTCAGTCTCTGCTGAAATCTCTCCTATCTGGTCTTGCATATTATCTATGTTTTCCATTAAATTTTTTGGTACATTTGTCATTGTTATTTTATTTTTTAAAGATTTTATTTGACAGAGAGTGACAGCAAGAGAAGGAACACAAGCAGGGGGAGTGGGAGAGGGAGAAGCAGGCTTCCTGCTGAGCAGGGAGCCCCATGCGGGGCTCGACCCCGGGACCATGACCCGAGCCGAAGGCAGACGCTTAACGACTGAGCCACCCAGTCGCCCCTGTCACTGTTATTTTAAATTAACTGTCTAATATTTGTGATATCTTTGTCATTTAAGAGTCTGCCTCTGTATATTGTTTGGTATTTTGGAAATGTGCCACTTCTTTTCTACATGCCTTCGAATTTTATGTTAAAGTTGGACATCTTGAATAAGACAGTAGATAGTAAGTATTTTTATGTTTTGAAATCAACACCTTTTTAAAAATAGTGTTATGTCAGGGCGCCTGGGTGGCTCAATCAGTTAAGTGTCTGCCTTCGGCTCAGGTCATCCCAGGGTCCTGGGATCGAGCCCTGCATCAGGCTCCCTGCTCAGCAGGGGAGTCTGCTTCTCCTCTCCTTCTGCCCCTGCTCATGTATTCTCTCTCTCTCTCTCGCATACACTCTCTCTCTCTCAAATAAATAAAATATATATTTTTAAATAATATTTTGTCTTTAGTATTACAAGTTTGTGTTAATCTAGTCAAGAATTTGTCTGGGTTTAATATTGGTGGTTGTAGTGGTTATTGAAAGCTTCAGATAACTTTAAAGATAGTTTTGGGTATAGGCTGATTCATGAGAAGTTATTTTTCCCCAATGTCTAATTTTTCCTTGGCTTTGGTTTCCCCTTTAAAAAAAAAAAATTATCTGGAAAGAATCTCTTGCAGTTCTTCTAATTTGATTGCACTGCATTTTTACTAGATTCTTATTACTGATGGGTAGTTGAGGCAGAGGGACAGTCTCTGATGTTTGGTTAAGCTTAGTTTTTGGCAAGTATGGCATCCCTGGGTCTTGTGGTGGGGGGATGGCCCTCACAAATGCTCCAACCCCTTCTCCAGCTTTAGTGTTGGCCTAGTACTTCTTCCTAACTCTTCCTCAAGAATGAGGCTCTTTTTTTTCCCTTCCCGTTTCCTTCCCTGGTGGTACCAAGTTTCCACAGTGCCCCAGGTGACTATTTTTGTTCCTTCTCTCCCTCTAGATTAAAGCATTGTTCCTTGCCAGAAAGTGGGGGAAAGGGGTGTGTGGGTAGATTTTTGAAAGGGTTGCTGGGGCCTCTCCTCTAGCCAGAACCCAATGGGAGTCTTGCTCAAGATTCCCCTCACCTTCCATTTGATCACTCAGTTGTTGCTGAAGGTAGAGCCTGTAAGAGGGTATAATACCCCCACCTTCTCCCACCCTAATATTTGTGTTCCTCAAAAGCTTCACATGTTCACACTGGTTGACACTTGGCTTTTAGCAATTCACTGCAGACTTTTAGCTGAGTGTTCTTAAATGCTTGGGTCCTTGTTCTATTTATAGGTCACTGTCCCCAGATTTCAGGTTTGTTGGTTGCCTTCCCACCGTGATCTTTTGATAGGCTCAAGAAGAGTTGTTAATTGACAGTTTGTCTTTTTCCTTATTGTAATAGTGGGATTGATGTTCTCATAGTCAACTTCCATATCTGAGCAGAAACCAAAAGTGTAAGCCTATTTTTAAAAATAATAAGTTGTAATGAAATTGTACTTAAATTTTGCCATGTAATTTTAGAACTCTAAGACATGGACTTCTGGCAATCCAGTCCAACTCTGAATTTTTAGATGATCAAGCTAAGTTGTAGAGAAAGAAGTACTAATTCATTGACTATCTGCTGTTGTATGAGTTGTTACAGTAATATCCCTCGGCATCTTGAAATTTCCATTCAAACTTAGTTACTTAAAAGTCATTTTTTAAGTGGTGTTATAGAATGGCTTTTTCTCTTGGCTGTGAAATCCTCTGGGTATCTTTTCAGGTGTGCCACTTTTAATATTTTAAAAATAAGAAAGTGAGAGGGTGTTTTATTATGTATCATATGCTACTTGTTTTTCTGGCTCTCCTAATATTTAGCATTGTAGTAGGCATTCAAGTATGTATTAATGCACTTATTAACTGATACTTCTGGATTGGGAAAATTTCATTACAAATTATTGCCAAGAATGCATATAGCCTCATTGACGACATGGTATTTAAATTCTGTGGGCACTTTTTTTTTCTTTATAGGTTGAGAAGAATAGGTATTAACTCTTCATTATTTTTTTTAAGTTTTTATTTAAATTCCAATTAGTTAACATACAGTGTAGTATTAGTTTCAGGTGTACAATTTAGTGATTCAACACTTCCATACGACACCCAGTGCTCATCACAAGTGCACTCCTTAATTCCTCACCCATTTCATCCATCTCCCCACCTACCTCCCTGCTGGTGACCATCAGTTTGTTCTGTAGAGTTAAGAATCTCTTTCTTGGTCTGCCTCCCTCTCTCCCTCTCTCTCTCTCTCTCTCTCTCTCTCTCTCTCTCTCTCCCTCTCCCTCCCTCTCCCTCCCTCCCTCCCTCCCTCTCCTTCCCTCCCCCTCCCCTATACTCATTTGTTTCTTAAATTCCACGTATGAGTGAAATCGTATGGCATATCTCTTCTTCTTTTCTTTTTATTATTTTTTTAAAAGATTTTATTTATTTATTTGACAGAGAGAGAGACAGTGAGAGAGGGAACACAAGCAGGGGGAGTGGGAGAGGGAGAAGCAGGCTTCCCGTGGAGCAGGGAGTCTAATCTGGGGCTCGATCCCAGGACCCTGGGATCATGACCTGAGTTGAAGGCAGACGCTTAACGACTGAGCTACCCAGGCGCCCCGACATATCTCTTCTTTGACTGACTTATATGGACACCTTTTACCATATTTACTATCAAGTGCTTGTCTCTGCTGAAATACATAGCAAACACTTGAAAACTTGTTAATCTGTTTTAGAAAAGAGACATGTTATGATAAATATGTAATCTTTCATCAAAAAATATTCATGAAGAAATAGGGATTGCAGTATAAACATAGTCTGAATTTATAACCCTTTTTTCAGCTTCATCCAGGATATGGAAATGGGAATTCTTTTTTTTTTTTTAAGGATCTTCATTTATTCGATAGAGACACAGTGAGAGAGGGAACACAAACGGGGAGTGGGAGGGGGAGAAGCAAGGAACTGGACTTCGGAAGGATTAAGGGATTACCTGAGGTTTACACAGTTCATGAGAAAGAAAGGCATGTCTAAAACCCATGTCTGAAGCCTGGACACCACACTCTCTCCCATTACATAGCATCGCTTTCTCCCAGGGTGATACTGAAGTAATGAAGCACGTGGAAGTCAAAAGGGCTTTTACATATGGTCCTAACTCTCAACCTGCAGTTCTGTGCTTGTGTGACTTTGGACAGGTCCAGTGATCTACTGTTTTCTTTCTTGAGCAGCCTTTAAGGTTGTAACCCAGCGTTTGCCTGCTCTCATGTGTAATGACTAGAAGTACCTAGTTGTTAGTGAGTATCCTGGGTTAGCCTTTGTTCTGGGTGCATTCCTCCCTTTCGCATGTAGTTTGTAGTTTGTAAGCTTATGGAAGGCATAGCTTATCCATAAAATACATGTATACATAATTACTTTATAGTGTATGCAGATATCTACTGTTTTCATACATCTGTGAATATCTGGTAGTGCCCACATTAATGCAAAGAGATCAGGAGGGCATTAAGTACATGTAATTGTTAGTCTCTTACTGCTTAGGCATCCACACAGTTGGTGACTCTGGTTAGTAAAAATCAGACACTAAGAAGGTCATCCTGGCACCTGCTATCAACAGTTGACGCAATGACTGGTGATGCCCCCAGCTCCTTTCAGTGGTTCTGTAGGTAAATTTTGGTGGTTTAGCTCTGTTTAGAAAATACTTTGTCATTTTATCTCAGTGTCATGTCATTTAAGCAACTAAATACTGTATCTTACTCCTTTATTAGAGAACAGCACTGCACAAGTAACATCTACAGGAAGTCTTATATTCCAGAACTTTGAGGAGGGCATGAGTGGAGTGTACACATGTTTCCTGGAGTATAAACCGACTGTGGAAGAAATTGTTAAAAATCTTCAACTAAAATATGTTATATATGGTAAGAAGTACACATAGTTGTATTTTAACATTTCTCAATGTTTTCAAATATTTTAATATCTTTAGGTTTGTCTTAAAGGCACTTTGTCATTTTTAGTCTTCTAATTAAAGAAAAATTCCTGCTTGCCTGTGTTTTACAAAGTACTCTGTAAAGTGTTAGTGGTGAGGGCAGGTCTTGTTTTTTTAAGGGCAAGTTGACAGGAACACATAATTTTAAGCTGATGAATGAAAATGGGGGTTATGGAAATCGTATTTTCAAATTATTACAGTATTATAGCCTGTACTGCTTTTAAATTCTGAGTTTCATGCTTGATGGCACACCGCCCTCCCCCCAGACAGGAGCATGAAATGCCACTGTAAAATCCTTTTCTAAAAGCAATTTGATCTCTGGAAGTTTGAGATTGGGAGACCTGGGTGGATAATGGAGTGGCCAGAAGAACAGCCTGAGCAAAGGTGGCTTGTAAGTTCCGTCTCACTGGGGCGGCCCCGTGCGGCAGAGAGGGTAGGGGCCCTCCCCCATGCACCTGTCTGATCTCCAGCACCTGTGAATGTGCTACCTCACAATGGCAGAAGGGACTCTGCACATATCAAGAAGGTAAGGATCTCGACAAGAGGAGATTATCCTAAGGAAGCGGAGTAGGCCCAGGACAATCAAAAGGGTCCCTATAAAGAGGAGGCGCAAGGGTCAGCAGCAGATAAAGGACACGTTATGGTGGAAGGAGAGGTCTCAGTGGTTTTCTTTGAGGGTGGAGGAGGGGCCATAAAGCCAGGAAGTGCAGGAGGCCTCTAGAAGCTGAAGATGGCAGACATGGAGCTTCCCCTGGAGCTTCCAGAAGGAATGCTCCCTGATTCTAGCCTTGTAAGATTCACTTTGGACTTCTGATTTCCAAAATGGCAGGATGATAAATTTGTGCCATTTTATGCCACTACATTTATGATGATTTGTTACAGTAGCAATAGGAAACTGATGTACCATCCTTGTCACAGCTGACTTACAGAACAAATGGCAGAATTATTAGTGGTTTTCTGATAATTTTTGGTCACTGAAAAAACACTATCCCATATATCCAAAGAAAGACATAATTTTTTTTTTATGAGAAATTATATTAACTTTCTTAGGCAAAAATTTGTTTAATCTTCTGAATCGGTCACGCTTCACTTTTGTTCAGTAGTTCTCTCCATCTTGGTATTTAATAGGTCTTGTGTGTACTGAATATCACCTCTGAGGGGGTGTAGTCACATCGGCTGACAACTGTAGCCACGCCCAGAATGAATGCTGGGCCCAGTAATGATGAGCACAGCTAATCTGTGTTTTTACACGTAATTCTGATAACCATAAAACGCACCTAGTGCTTCTGCAAGGCATAGTCAGAAGTGCTGTATCTGTATGCAGTGTATTTAATGCCCACAGCACACTGTGCAGTACATACTGCTCTGTTCTGTCTGTACAAACACCGAGGCACAGAGGGGTTAAGTGACTCGGTCAGGGCCACGCTGTGAGAATACGGGCGGACCAGATGTGAGCCTAGCAATTCTGATCCCAGAGTTGGTGTTCTTACTTTAAAGTTAACTTATGTTATACAGGCACAAAAGCCAATCAGATCCCTTTTTATCTTTTTAAATATAAGCGCTTTAGTATATACATTTGGTATATAAATGGCATTTTTATTATTATTTTTTAGTATAGCTGACACAATGTTACATTAGTTTCAGCTGTACAACATAGTGATTCAACGACTTTAAACTTTATGCCATGCTCACCACAAGATACACACGTATTTTTGTATTAATGGAAATTAAATTGTTAGTATTTCTGTAAGAAGAGTTCTATAAGGTAGAATCTTCTACAGAATATGCAGTGTTATTTTTGATAGATTCTGCCAGTTTCCCTACAAAGAATGGACCAATTTATATCCCTGCCATACTATATGAAAACTTCATCTTTTATAAGATATTTTTTTGTTGGTTTCTGTTTGGCTTGTGCTGAGCAAGCTTCCCTGAATTAGAAGAACTGAATTCACTTATAATTACATTATATCTTTATATATGAAATGTTTAAAATTTTAGAAAGTATCAAAAATAACATAACACCCAGAATTACTATCAGATTTAAATATGGCAAGATCATGGATGTGTGGTGACTCATTCCTTTAATATGCCCGTCCTTAATTAGTAAATTTGAGCATTTAAAAGTGTTTTTGTTACCTAGTAGATTACATTGCCTTTTCAATTTTGATGCCATTTTCCTTTTGGTTGGTTTGCCTTTTTCTCAGTAATTTATAGGGTCTTACCAGTCTGCATACCAAACCTTAGCTTCTGCCTCTCTCACTATGATGTTGTTTATGCTCCAGAAGTTTCAAGTATTGTTGTTATGGTGAGATTTACCACCTGTTTTTGAGTTGTGATTTTTTTCGGTTTAATTTTTTTCTGAGATCTTTCCTTAATATGTAGAAAATAAAAAAAGATTGCCTATATTTATTTGGTTGGCCTGGTTTTTTTTATTTTTTTATTAAAAGATTTTATTGTTTATTTATTTATTTATTTATGGCAAGTGGGGGGAGGGGCAGAGAGAGAGAGAGAGAATCTCAAGCAGACTCCAAGCTGAGCATGGAGCCTGACGTGGGGCTCGATCTCATGACCCTGAGATCATGACCTGAGCCAAAATCAAGAGTCGGACACTTAACCAACTGAGCCACCCATGGCCTGTGTTTTTTTAATTAAACTTTTTATTTCAAGGTAATTGTAGATTCATGTATAGTTGCAAAATACAATCCAGAGATCCCATGTATACTTTACCCAACTTTCCCCCATAGTGACATCTTGTGAACATATAGTACATAATCAGGCCAAGATGCTAAGTTTATGTAGTACACCAATCTTAATCAGATTCCTCCAATTTTATAGTATTCCTTTGTGTGTGTGTGTGTGTGTGTGTGTGTGTGTGTGTGTGTAATTTTCTTAAGTTTGATCACAGGTATGTTCTCCTGTATCCACTGCTGCAGTTAAGATACATAGCAACACCAGCAACAGAAGTATACTTTGGGTTGTCTTTTCTTTTTTTCTTTTTTAAAGGTTTTATTTATTTATTTGAGAGACAGAGAGAGTGAGCAGTAGAGAGAGAGAGAGCACAAGCCGCGGTGGAGGGGCAGAGGGGGAGGGAGAAGCAGACTCCCCACTGAGCAGGGAGCCCGATGCAGGGCTCCATCCCAGCACACTGGGATCATGATCTGAGCCAAAGGCAGATGCTTAACCACCCAGATATAAGTACAGGAATATAGTATATAATTTCATGGGATTGGCTTTTTTCATTTGACTTAATTCTCTGGAAATTCATCTACATTGTTGTGTGCATTTCTCATTCATTCTCTTTATTCTGAGCTGTATTTCACAGTACAGATGTGCCACATCTGTTTAACCCCTCACACACTGAAGTGTGTGGATTGTTTCAGGCTTGGGGCTATAACATATAAAGTTGCTATGAACCTTGTGTGTATAGTTTTTTGAACAGGTTTTTATATCTGTGGGATAAATGCCCAAAGTGTGGTAGTTACATACTAGTTTTACAAGAAATTGGCAAATTCTTTGCCACAGTGGCTGTGCCAGTTTACATTCTGACCAGCAGCTTCTCTATGTCCTCTCCAGTATTTGGTGTTGTCGTTATCTTTGATCTTAACCATTTTAATGGGTGTGAAGTGATATTTCATTGTGGTTTTCATTAGTGTTTATCTAATGTCTATGGACGTTGAACATAATTTATGAGCGTATTTACCATCTCTACACCCTCTTTGGTGAAATGTCTGTTGATATCTTTTGCCCATTTTCTAATTGCTTTGTTTGATATGTTACTGGTGTTTTGAGTTTTTTTTAAAAAATACATACTTTTTTTAAAAAATACATTAAAAAAATAACCTACTTTGTAGGTTACGTTATTTGCGAACATTCTAGTCTATATCTTTTCAGTGTCTTGAGATTTTTTTTTCTTTTTTTTCCGAAGGGAGGGGATCCAGAGTATATTTTTTTAATTTTTAATTTTTTTAACCTCTTGACGCCCTCATCTATTTTTTTCTACCCTTCACTACCTGCCTGGGGCAACCACCAGTTTGTTCTCTGTATCTGTGAGCTTTTCTTTCCTTTCTTTTTTTAAAGATACATATAAGAGAAATCATACAGTATTTGTCTTTCTCTGATTTATTTCACTTGGTATAATGCCTTCAGAGTCCATCCATGTTGCCACATTTATGCGCACATGCATGCGCACATACACTCAAATCCCAAGATTTTATTAGCCAATTCAACCGTCAGTGGGCACCGCTTCCTTATCTTGGCTGTTGTAAGTAGTGCTGCATTGAACATGGGGGTGCACATATCTTTTTGCATTAGTGCTTTTATGGGGGACAAATCCAGATGTGGAATTGCTGGGTCATATGGTAGTTCAATTTTCATTTCTTGAAGAACTTCCATACTGTTTTCCACAGTGGCTGCCCCAGTTTGCATGCCCACCAACAGTACACAGAGGTTCCCTTTCTCCACATCCTCACCAACACACGTTGTTTCTGTCTTTGATACTAGCCATTCTAACAGGTGTGAGGTGGTATCCTCATTGTGGTTTTGATTTGCGTTTCCCTGATTGATGACGTTGAATATTTTTTTCACGTACCTCTTGGCCAGCTGTGTTTCTTTGGAAAAATGTTTATATAAATCTTACGCCCATTTTTAATTGGATTGTGTTTTTTGCTGTTGAGTTGTCTCAGGTCTTCATATATTTTGGATATTAACTGCTTATCAGATACATGTTTTGCAAAAGTTTTCTTCTATTAGTAAGTTAGCTTTTTTATTTTGTTGATTGTTTCCTTTGCTGTGCAGAAGCTTTTTAGTTTCATGTAGTCCCACTTGTTTATTTTTACTTTTGTTGCTTTTATTCTTGGTGTCAGATTAGAAAAATTGCGAAGGAGTTTGTCATCTATATTTTCTTCTAGGAGTTTTATGGTTTCAGGTCTTACA